TAGAAGCAGCCAGAACAGAAGAGAAGAGCCTAGCTAGGAGTGATTGTTGTCCAGGAAGAGGGTGGTGGCTTGGACTAGGATTGTGGTGGAAAAGAGGGAGAGAAGTGGGTGGACTTGAGAGCGATTTAAGAAATAAAATCACAGGCCTTGTTAATGAACCAGAGGTGGTGGTATGAGAGAGAAGTGTCAAAGGAAACACACAGGTCTCTGGTTGCAGAACTGGATGGACGGTGGTCTGTTCATCGACATGAGAAGTGCTCTATTACAATAGCCTCCTGACACCCTCCTCTACCCAGCTTGTCAGGAGCTAATTAATGTCAAGTGGTTACAATCACCCCACATCTGCTGTGGTACTCACGCTGAATTCTTCTGCCAGTTATAAAGACAAAATTTCTCTTTTGCAGATCAATTTTGCCATGAAAGTCATTTTCATGGAAGAAGGCCTCTTAAAAAGTAATTAATAAATTGAATCTTGTATTTGACATCATGGAAACAATAAAGTGTGACAGAATAAGGCACCTCTTTAATAGCCTCAGGCAGATTAGAAAATAAGAGAATTTAGGATGTAAACAATGCCCAGTGAAAGCCAAATGACATCATAGCATGTCACACACACAAAAGTTTTGCAGTATTAATAGAGAACTGCAGTGGGGTTAGCTGAGTCTTCTGGTAGCACACAGCAGTATAGTCATATTATATGAGACATCACATGTTCATTTTATAAAGGAAAATATTACACACTTCCTATCTTTGTAGTAGTAACTTCCCAAGCTTATTAGCAGTAAAGGTAATAGAATAAAATAAAGTGTTACTTTAAAGTTTTTGAAGTACATATATTGAGATGCACTATCAAATTGGCCCAAAACAATATAACAGATAGGTGTTCAAAAGTTAGTTCCTTGTTAAAAAGATGAAAATAATTGATAGCAATGATCTAATTTTAGCAAAATAATATTATCCACCACATTAAATTTGTGTTGTGTTGATTCTGTAGTCTTGTATGTTCATAATTTGTACATTAATTTTAACTTTGCCTTTTTGTTTATCCTCACCCGAGGACATGTTTTTCTATTTTTGTTCAGACAGAGTGTGAGGGAGAGAGAGAAAGAGAGAGAGAGAAGGAGAAACATCAACGCGAAAGGGACACATCAAGTGGCCACCTCCTGCACGACCCCAACCAGGGCTGGGGATGAACCACAACTGAGGTACATGCCCCTGACCAGAATCCAACCCATGACTCCTTGGTCCACAGGCTGCTGCTCTCCAACCACTGAGACAAACTGGCCAGGGCCATTAATTTTAATTTTATAGTGGTATGAGCTGTAAGTATAAGGACTTTATACATGATTTTGTGAAAGTATATGTTTACTAATATTATAATATAAATAACTTAAGTAAGCAACAGGAGTTTAGGAGAATTGTTTCCCTTCAAATAGGTCTGAACCTTATGCAAGTTTGGAAGACACTGAGCATTAAACCAAACTTCAGTTTGGCCTACAAGGCCTTCCATGATCTAGCCCCACATAATACCGCAGCTTCATTTCCTGCCACTCCCCTACTCAAACCTGACAGCACTGTAATTTCCATATTTTTACTCTAGGTGTTCCCTCCACCCAGAACAAGCCACCTAAATCTGCTTGGCTAAAACAACAAGCATCACAGTCCATAGACATGCCTTGGGATTTTAATTCTCCCAGAGTGATAATTAAGGATTATTTACTCAACTGAATAAAATGATAGAGTATGTCCAACATCTCTCATGGTAAGATGTGCATGGGGGACTCTCCCACATCATTGAGAAGTATGGACTGGACACTTGTAAGGCCACAACATGGGAGGCAATAGGGTCCCAGTATGAGAAGCCAGAACCAGTAGTCCAGCCAAGACGGAGCCTTCTGGCCAAAACAGGTCTAGGCACTTCCCATGTGTTTTTGTTTTATAAATATGGGCCTTTGCCCTGGCCAGTTTGGCTCAGCGGTTGGAGCATCGGCCCATGGACCAAGTAGTTGCGGGTTCAATTCCCATCGGGGACACATACCTCAGTTGCACATTTGATCTCTGACCCTGGTTGGGGTCGTGCAGGAGGCAACCAGTCAATGTGTCTCTCTCACACTGATGTTTCTCTCTCTCTCTCTCTGCCTCCCGCTCTATCTGAAAATCAATGGAAAAATATCCTCGGGTGAGGATTAAAAAAATTTTTTTAAATAAATAAATAAAATATGGGCTTTTTATCAGAAGAAGAGATAAACAACTTTGGTCTACATCAGTGATAACCTTTTTGGCACAAATGTCAGGTCAGAAAAATCAAAAATTTATGCAGGCTATATTTATTTTTCATTCAAAATAGTTCATTTATGGAGTCCCAGGATGAAATAATACATATTCTTAAAACACAACTTATATATTTTATTGATTACAAGATTACCAAAGAGAAAAATTCCTATTACTTTTCAGCTACTAAAATGTTACTGCTGAGTATATTTGAGAAGTAACAACACCAAAGCACCTTTTGAAACTCTTACCCTAAAATTAGAATAGGTGGATGATATGTGGCCTGCAGCTGGCAGCCCATTGAGCTAAAGGAAAGGAAAAATATTCCTCTTTGAGTCAGTCTAAGTTTATATTGCTCAGGGATTTGGAAACAGCTTGTAATTCATATTTTACTTTTTATTTGCTTGTAGGTTCTTACAGTTCTAACAAAATCTCAGGTTTTAAAATACATCTTGTATTTATACATATGCTGCTTGCATTCTATATTTTATCTGTAGTAAGTTTAAGACAATTTTTTCAAGTTTTTTTCTTCTGGATTTATTCTGTTTACCTAAAGCAATAGTTCCCCAAAATAACCCACAGAGTACAAGTCCTGCAAGATATTCTGAGAAGCAGAAATTTTCAAAGTAAACTAAGTTTGGAAAGTTATGTATATGATATTTAAGTAACATGAACAAATTTTAGCTAAATACTCTGAGAACTTCTACAATAATAAAACCTGTTTAACCTTGTTTAATTCAGTATTTCTCAGACTTATCTGAACGTGAAATAACAAAAATAATTTCTTAGAAACAGCATTTAACATCCTGCAGAACTAGTATTCTGCAGAAAATACTTTGACATACACTGATCTACAGTCATCTTTTAAAAAAAGAAAAAGAAAAACACTTACCAAAGGGGAAGGGATTCTCAAATAATGAGGAGTCATGCTGAGAAGAGCAGAGGGATGAAACTTATCAGTATCTACCTGAGTGAGGCTGAGTGAAAAGGGCTCATAGGAACTGGGGTGGCTTCAGTCAACCTAGACGATTTAAGTTCAGAAGATTCCATTCAGGCTGAAGGGACCTGAGCAATCTCAGATGAGCCAGGATGACAATAATGACTATTGTTGCCATTATCTCTGCTTCAATTTGTTAATTGCTCAGGATGGGAAAGTCACTATACCATACATACATTATCTCTAACCACCTGAAACCTCTGCAAGATAGGTTTCATCCTCCTGATCTAGAGATGAGGAACCTGAGGCTGAGAGAAGGTGGCAGGATTCCAGTAGAAATAGGATTTGGTCTTAGACCTTTCTTACTGCATCATAACGACTCAGTCTGTAAAACTTCTTCCTTGAGGCAACTGCTCTCCCTTTGTTCTCTAAGCCACTGATTACCCTCTCCGGAGTCTTCCCTAACAGAAATAATCCTAGCAGTTAGAGCATTAGCCCGCAGACCAGAGAGTCCCAGGTTCAGTTCCCACTAAGGGCATGTACCTCGGTTGTGGTTTGTCCCTGGCCAGGTTGGGGCCATGCAGGAGGCAACCAGTTTATGTGTTCCTTTCACGACGATGTTTCTCTCTCTCTCTCTCCCTCCCGCTCTATCTGAAGATAAATGCAAAAATGTTCTCGAATGAGAATTAGAAAAAAACAAAACAAAAAAAAACACATTGATTATTTTGGCCCACTTAACCCTACTATGTCTGGATTCCTCTTTGAACCAAATGTTTGCACACTCTAAATCGAACAAGACCTCTGATCACCTAGGCATGAAATGATGTTTTGAAATTACTTCTCAAGGCTCTTCAAGAACCACAAAAGAAAATCAATCTTAATAGTCAAAGCCAACTCAAACACCTATAGAGGCCAAGCAGGTAACATACATCAGGGAAGCTGGTCAGGAATAAGACAACAGTTGATGACAGAGACTGTGATGACCTAGAGAGAATATTGCTTCACCAAAGGCCTTAACTGTTTCTTAGCTTTGGCACATTGTTGTCAAACAGAAACGTGAGCCCAGTATTTTATTTTTCAGATGAATCCAGAAACACAGTTTTTATGTGAAATCTCCCAATTCCAAGATGTTGACAACTAATTTCTTTAAAACAGCACAGCCAAAAACAACATAAACTTGCAGGCTGATCACTTATTACCTCATAAGTCAACTTTACTATAAACAGCATTACTTCTGCCACCTCCCCTCTGCCCCACAATTATGCCCTCCATGCAGTAGACCTGGGTTCACATTGCTTTTGACACATTAAAAAAAATAATTAAAATGTAAGACCTGTCACTACTGGAGTCATGTTTAAAACAGAGTCTAAAGTTGATTATAAAAAAGGAGACCCCCATTTTTTTTGCAAGACAGCAAGAGGGTTAAAATAAGTGCAGCTGTCACTTGAAGACAATAGCAGTCAGTATGTGATGTTTGTGGGATGCATTTTATGCCAGAGTGACTCCACAGTATGAGGAAGTCATTGGCACTGCTCCAGTGACCAAATACTTTTGCTTCCTCCTCTCCAAACTGATTTTCCTGATTACCTTTGGAGACTAGATTCAAGTCCAATTAGGTTACAGGGTGGATAGTCCTCCATGACATTCTCTTAGCACTAGAGGTGCTTGTTAGAGGGGTAGCTAATGCCACCCGACACCAGTATTATTCAAAGCTGAGGCTCAAGGCGTGGCCTCTGGTCTTTTAAGGTTAACATCATCACTAGGTCCCCAGAGAAGAGCCAAGGAGAGAAGAATGGAAAGAGGTTGGCTCCAGGGGGAGGGATTCCTTCTCTGCCTCATTCTCTACCTGCTGCTTCAAGGTAAGATGGGACAAGAGCAGGAACAAAGCAAACACATAACTTCTGGGAAACAGAAACCGGGCTAATTCTTGTTATTTCTAGGCAGTGGATGATTGGATGTTTATTTTGGTAAAAATGGAAATGTATAACACTGACAACTTTGTACCTTTTTCTAGGATACTAACAGTTAGCTCACTCTTTTCTTTAGTTACTTCTCCACTCTCCTGCTTCCGTTGGCCTCTTCTCCTTCCCCATGCCTTTCTCTTTCCAAGCACATTATCTATCCTCATGGTTTCTGAATACCAGATGATGTTAAAAAGAAGAGAATTGTTTCTTGGCTCTCTTGAAACAAATGAAATGGAACAGGAAAGATGCTAAGGGGAAGGACGTGCATGAGAATTGTCATGGAAGAGGGAAAGTTTTTCAGTATAATTTTTCCAATCTAGACTATGTTTCCTGTTCATTATTGAAAATGAGCAATGGCCCTGGCCAGTAAAGCTCAGTGTTAGAGTGATTAGAGTGTGGGCCCCGAGCACCAAAGGGTCACAGATTCAATTCTCAGTCAAGGGCATGTACCTGGGTCGCAGGTTCGATCCCTGGCCCCTGTCGGGGTGTGTGCAGGAGGCAACCAATCCATGTGTCTCACTCACATTGGTCTCTTTCTCTCTCCCCTCCCACCCTCCCTTCTACACTCTCTGAAAAAGCAAATGAAAAAAAAATATCCTCAGGTGAGGATTAACAAAAAAAGAAAAAAGAAAATGACCATCATCAGTGATAGATAAAAATAGATGTTACCACAGCATTACCTGTTTCTACTCCACAAAGTATGACTAGAAAGGGGTTGGGTATAAGATTGGTTTCAAGGAACTCTCTTTAAGGTAGTTTCACTGGTGATGACTATTGAGTTTTAGAAGAGAATAATCACAGCACATAGTAGAGATACAATAAATACTCATTAAATTGAAACACTGGGTTCTTTCCTTAAGGTCCCACATTTCTTTTTCTTTTTTTAATCCTCACCTGAGGACATTTTCCCATTTTTTGTTCAGATAGAGTGGGAGGGAGAGAGAGGAAGAGAGAGAGAGAGAGAAACATCGACATGAAAGGGACACTTTGAGTGGCTGCCACCCGCACGACCAACCAGGGCTGGGGACAAACTGCAACCGAGGTATGTGCCCTTAGCAGGAACCGAACCTGGGTCTCTCTGGACCTCAGGCCAACGCTCTAACCGCTGAGCCAAACCAGCCAGGCCAATGTCCCACGTTTCTTATACTACCTACCTGATGCCACCAGCACGTAAGGCCATACCACCCTGATTTCACACTACCTACCTGATTACTTCCCTTGTTATTAATTTATGATCATCTATGTCTTATTAATAATATAGTGAGGAGGAGAACTGTGATTGCAAAATTTCTCACTGATATCATCCAGATGACTCAAGGACAGAGATGAGCAATGGAAGGACATTGAGTGAAGGTGAGAAGGCTTGTGGTGAAATTGTTAAGAACATAACAGGACACTGAAAAGCAGTGGTCAGAGCTGAGTTTGCATGCACCTTTGGACAAGTTTTGCATGGAGACAGAAACAATGGAATTAAGGATGGAGCCTTGACTCAGCTCGCCCCATCAACTTCCACCATTTGCCTACCAGCCGAGCCCATGCTCCCTGACTCAGGAAGGAGGAGCTCACGTGCTCCTCCCGTGCCCCCTAATTTTGCCCCAGGCCCCAACCCTGGCACTTCTCTCGCAGAGTCTCTGCTCTCTACAGAAAGAGGAGACACCTTCGCCATCAATTGCTCAGGGTTTGACCAACATGGGGTGGATCCTGCTGCCTTCCAAGCGTTGTTTGCCAGAAAGGCCTTCCTTCCAGTCACTAACAACAACGACCCTACTCATGTCAACATCTCCTTCACCCTGTCTGCCATCCTGGAAGTGGTAAGTCCTGACCCAACACTGATGGTCTAGTGGTAAACAGTGGGTCTCCTGATTGGATTTTGTAAAATTAAGAGCTCATTCTATGGGGTAGGGAGACATACGATGATATCACTGTAGGTGAAATCTGTCCCTTTTTGGAATACCTCATAAGAAACATAATCCCAATGACCTCATACTATTTTTGTTGTTGTTGTTGTTGTTTTCACTTATGTTTCTCATGTATTCTGGATTATTTGACCTACATTTTTCAGTGGCTTATAATTAAAAATCATAATCGCCACACAGAACAACCTTGGAAATGAGTAAGAGGTAAGTAATGGCATTGGACCTGACTTTATAGATTTAATGATTCTGGATGAAAATTGTCTTTCCAGAATGCACAGCTTCAACTGATGACATCATTCCTGTGGCTAAATATGGTATGATAGACTCAGTTTTTTCTTTACTACTCCTGGGTCCAACTTTGCAGATTACAATGGATAAAGCTGAGAATACCTATGAATTAGAAAGTTCAAAAAAAAAAAAAAAAAAGCCAGACCAACGATGAAAACACAAAGCTTCCTGACTATTCTGCCAGTTTAGGGGGGCAGAGATGGGCCGCAGGGAGAGGGTCCTGGAAGCCAATATTTACATGGCTCCATCCCAGGGAATCCAGATCCAAGCCCAAGGGCTCCCTTGAAAGCACTGAGGAAGAAGTAGAAGTAAGTAAGACTTTTGTTAGTGACATTGTGACAGCTGTCACCAGAGGAGGGGTGGGAAAGCCAAGAGATGAGTGAAAAAAGGAATGTAAAGTGCAGGAGATAGAGCAAGACTAAAACTAGTTCCCACCCCATTTCTCCCACGTCGTGTTTTCCTCTAGATCTGGTACAATCCATTCATCAGGTGGAACCCAGAGGAATGTGGGGGCATCAGGAAGCTCAGCATAGCAACTGAGAACCTGTGGCTTCCAGACATCTTCATCAAGGAGTTGTGAGTACCAGTGATGAAAACAGCAAGAAGGCGACCATCCCGCCAGAGAAGAGCATAATGTAACCAATAGGCACCACACAGAGACTCAATTTAAAAAGGAACAGTATCTGAACTAAGGAGCGTACAAGACCCCCAGAACATGGAGATAGGTGGAAGGGGGAAATTAGATGAGTGGGGCTGGAGCACAGGAATGCGGTGACCTGACAGAGAAAAAAGGCCAACTCTGATGGGGAATCCATAGCACCCACCTCCCCATCTTTTTCATATACAGCATGAATGTGGATCACACACCTGTAAGGCTCATGGCTTATGTCAGTAGTGAAGGACACATCAGATATGATAAGCCAATGAAGGTGACCAGCATCTGTAACCTGGACATCTTCTATTTCCCCTTTGATGAACAAAACTGCACGCTCACCTTCAGCTCTTTCATCTACACAGGTGAGTGAGGCAGAGAAAGGTTTTGGGAGAGGAGAGGACAGAAAGCTGAAAACAGTGATGGACTCTTACTGAAGGGTATATGGAAGCTAACTGGCAAGAATTCTAACAGTCTGGGCAAGGGGGTTGGGAGCACTGGGGAGGCTGAGTTGTCTAGATCTTTTTGCAGTGGAGAATATGATCCTGGGCATGGAGAAGGAAGTGTGGGAGATTTCAAACACATCACAGAACCTCATTCAGAACAAGGGAGAGTGGATGCTTCTGGATATCCACCAGAGAATGGTGAAGATGACTGTGGGCACCAACCAGTACAACCAAATCATTTTCTATGTGAGCTCGGGGCCCTGGTTGTGATCTCCTCCTTATGTCCCCCACTAGAGCATAAGTTCTCCCACTGGAAAGTAAGCTCCACAAGGGCAGAGATTTTTATCACTTTTCACTGATAAATCTCCAGTACCATGCACAGTATCTAGCACTCAGTAAATATTGATGGAATAAATCCTCCCTGAGGAGGAAACAAAGCTCCTATGGCAGTGATATACAGTGAGAGTGAGCCTCCCACCCCCAGGCCATCAGAACTTTTTGGAGGGCTGGAATTATGTTCACTTTTTAAAAGAGATGGTGGAAGACACAGGCAACAATATGGTGATTACCAGAGGGAAAGTGGGGTGGGGGGAGGTAGGAGAGGGTAAAGGGGAGGTAAATGGTGATGGAAGGAGACTTGGCTTGGGGTGGTGAATATACAATTCAATACACAAATGATGTGTTGTACAAGTGTACACCTAAAGCCTATATAATTTTATTAACCAATGTCACCTCAATACATTCGATAAAAGTTTTTAAAAATTAACAAAAATTAAAAAGATGGTGAAAATTTTATGAAACACTTGTTTTAGGGATATTGTGATTCCAAATCCTGGTGACCACAAAATATCTGCCACTGTCTTGCTTTCCCTCCTATGGGTCTTAAATTCTACCAGCAAATCACTAGATATTAGGTCATGATGAGGAGAGCAAGCAGAAATGTAAGGATAAAATGCACATGATAACCTAAGAATCTGGTCTCTCGATCCTGCTAAGAGCACATTGGTAGGGATAAAAATGTAAGCAGAGGAAGTTGACACTCTGAGCCGAGAAGGAATGAAATATGTGTCAGTAGTAAGCAGCATGGCAGACTGGGAAGGCAGACTGAGGTGATTAAGATGACTGTGTTGGAAAGACAGGACAGTGAATGTGACTTTTCCTTATTAGACAGTCTGTTCAGGGACAGATCTCAACTCTTGCTCTTAACTTGCTTTGCAGCCTCCCAGCCTACTCCTGACTTGACCCCTCTCTCCTCCCCACCAGGTTGCCATCAGGCGCAGGCCCAGCCTCTATGTCATAAACCTTTTGGTGCCCAGTAGCTTTCTGATTGCCATCGATGCCGTCAGCTTCTACCTGCCAGCAGAAAGCGGGAATCGTGCCCCATTCAAGATGACACTTCTGCTGGGCTACAATGTCTTCCTGCTCATGATGAATGATTTACTCCCGGACACTGGCACTCCCCTCATCAGTATGGCCCCTCCCTCTTTCAGGAAAATAAACTCGAGGTTGGGGGTATAGGGTAGGGAGAGGGACCAGTAGAAACAGTTCAGAGTGATGAAGGATCTTTAAAAAGGGTCCTTTGGGAAAATAGGTGACAAGAAGTCCTGGGAGGTGCCACTGGCCTTCACACAGGCTTACCTTCCCTCCAGGTGTCTACTTTGCTCTGTGTCTGTCCCTAATGGTGCTCAGCCTCCTAGAGACCATCTTCATCACTTACCTGCTGCACCTGGTCACCACCCAGCCCCTACCCATGCCCCAGTGGCTCAATTCCCTGCTTCTGCACTGTACCGGTCCAAGGAAAGGCTGTCCCACTGCACCCCAGAAGGGAAACAAGGGCCTGGGTCTCACCCCCGCCCACTTGCCTGGTAAGGAAGTCAGCACTGCCCACACTTCCTCTTCCAACACCCCCACTTCTCTGCTCCTGCCTCCTTCCCTGTTTCTCTTCCTCTTCAGGTGAACTTTGCAGCCCATGGCTTGGTCTCTGTCTCTCCTTAGGTCTGAAGGAGCCCATGACGTTGGTAGGGAAGGTGCCAGGTCCCCAAGAGGCAGGGTTAAATGGGTGCCCTGAGTCAACAAGGACCTGGCAGGAAGACGAAGCTCAGAAGCAGCACTTGGTCAGCCTGTGGGTGCAGTTCAGTCATATGATGGACACCCTACTGTTCCGCCTCTACCTGCTCTTCATGGCCACCTCCATCATCACAGTCATCATCCTCTGGAACACCTAGGCAGGTGCCCACCTGCAAGGCTCTCATGCCCATCCTAATCCCAGCTTCACAGCCCTGGTAACCACCTTGTTTTCAATCCAGTTCTTCTATGCACTCAGACCAGCCCTGGTTTTCTATACCCTCCCAGAGTTAGGTTCTTGCTCCTGCACACCATCAACTCCCCTCAGCCTTGCTATAAGTCTTGCCTGCCAGGCTCCTCAGCAATACTTCCTTGATTGAGTTGCCCCAATCAGCCCCTTTACAGTAAGCACTGGTTCTTCCCTGCATTGTATTATAGTACAAGAAAGTCTTGTGATTAAGAGTCTTCTTGCAGCCCGGCCGGTGTGGCTGCGTGGTTGAGTATCAGCCCATGCACCAGGAGGTCGCTGGTTCAATTTCCGGTCAGGGCACATGCCCAGGTTGTGGGACAAATCCCCAGTGGGGGGCATGCAGGAGGTGACCAACTGATGTTCTCTCTCTCACTGATGTTTCTATCTCTCTCCCTTCCTCTCTGTCTCTGAAATCAATAAAGAAACCAAAAAAATAAGAGTCTTCTTGCAGAAGCTTCTCATTACCAAAAGGATTTTTCTTCTTCTTTTTCTTTTTTTGTCTACCAGACAACATGTGGAAGTGGAAGAGGGGAGAGAAGGAGCCAAATTTATTACAAAGGATTATAATAAAAGCAGGATTTACCTCCTAAATCCAGTTATCCTGGATTTAAGCTTCAGAAATTAATAATGTGCTAGAATCAGGCATCTCTTGCTTAAAGAGTGAAGACTTTTGTCACAGTCTGACATATGACTCATTCATTGTTAAGCACTTAGAATGTTAACATAATCCAGAACTAAGGTAAACTATGTTGCAATTATTTGATCTGCCCTTAATCACACTAAAAAAAGAACATTAGTCCAAGATAGGTACATTTGAAAATGGCATCTGCTTTACTTGGAAGTTACACAAATGAACTGAAAAATTTTCCTTCCTCCCCTGGATGGCTTTGCTTAGCGGTTAGAGCATTGGCCCACAGACTGGAGAGTCTTGGGTTCAATTCTAGTCAAGGACACATACCTCAGTTGTGATTTGGTCCCCAGCCCTGGTCGGGGTCGTGTGGGAGGCAACCAGTGGATGTGTCTCTCTCGCATTGATGTTTCTCTCTCTCTCTCTCTCTCTCTCTCTCTCTCTCTCCCTCCCTCCCACTCTATCTGAAGATGAATGGAAAAATATCCTTGGGCGAGGATTTTTTTTTTTAAATGTCCTATCTGAAGCCTAAATCTCCCAGGTTACAACAGGCTAGGAGTAAAAAGAGAGTCGTAATATTGTTCACTAAACAGTATTTTTCTGGTTCCTCCTCTTCACTGTTCTTCCTCAAACGCCTTGGGCTCCCTCCAGTCACTGTAGATGCCCAAAGGTGGCAACGCCGCTGTAAGTGCTGCTGTGGTGGTGTGGGCCCACGGTCTTACCTGTGCTCTCTGCGGGAACGTCTGCCCTCCCAGCGCCCAAGCCACAGGAGAGATGAATCCTGTAGCACAGATGTTCCCGGCTGGATGCTGAGTCACCAGGACCAGCTGTTACTTGCTCTTTCCTTGCAGTCCCCTTCCACAGGCAGAAGTCCATGGGAATTAGAATACAGAGGCAGAAATTCCCTGCTATATTCTGAACTGCTCCTATCACTCAAGTTCCCAGTCTTCTAACTAAACCTGTGTCCCTTAATTCCCCCCACCCCCCACCCCTGCATTGTTTTTCCAGGAAGGTCTTTGTCTCCTCAGTTTCTAGAACCCTGTCAAGTACTCCCCTGACCATCACCAGTCCTCCAGGCATGTCCAAGACCCAGTGCATACACAATTAGGCTCAAACCAGGAGCCCCGACATCCACCTACATAAATTAGTGTATCCGTTATATTTTGGTAGTTCCTCAACTCACAGCTCTCCACAAAGTGCTTGTCTGGCTCCTGAGCCCTGGCCTATGGTTTCTGTATGTGATTGCTATCCATTTCAGCTGCGAAACAGTGACTCTCACTTTCCCCTTCTACCGTCTATTTCTGCCCTTGCCAGGTTACAGCTATTTTCCCAAACCCGATCCCCCAGGGTCTCAGATGAATGGGGCCATCAGAGGGCCATGCAGTGTAACCACCCCCCCACACACATACACACACCTTATTAGTGGAACAAGAGATCAATGGTAGAGGAGATATTTTAGGTTGAGGGGACACAGAGGACTAAAATCACATATTGAGTGTTGGGGTGCTATTTATTTTATTTATTTTTTAATTAATTAATTTATTTTTGTTACAGATGTTTCTCCTTTTCCCCCCACTGATTCCCCCCTTCTCCCCTCCCCGCCCTGTCCCCAGCTTTTTTGTTCATGTCCATTGTTCATACATATATGCATATAAGTTCTGTGGTCTATCTCTCCCCCCACCCCCTCTTCTGGGGATTGTCAGTCTGTACCCCACTTCCACATCTCTGGGATTATCCCATTCCTCAGACTGTTATGTTCATTATATTCCACAGATAAGTGAGATCATATGATACTTGTCTTTCTCTGTTTGGCTTGTTTTGCTTAGGATAATACTTTCCAGGTCCCTCCATGTCGTCTCAAAGGATAAGAGATCTTTCTTTCTTATAGCTGCATAGTACTCCATTGTGTACCACAGCATTTTTATCCATTCATCTACTGATGGACATTGGGGTTGTTTCCAGACCTTAGTTATTATAAATAATGCTGCTACAAACATGGGGGTACATATATTCTTTCTGATTGGTGTTTCAGACTTCTTAGCGTATATTCCTAGAAGTGGAATCACTGGGTCAAATGAAAGTTCAATTTTTAATTTTTTGAGGTAACACCTTATTGTTTTCCACAGTGGCTGCACCAGTCTGCATTCCCACCAGCAGTGTACTAGAGTCCCCTTTTCTCCACACCCTCGCCGACACTTGTTGTTTGATGATTTGTTGATGGCGGCCATTCTGACAGGTGTGAGGTGATACCTCATTGTTGTTTTAATTTGCATCTCTCTGATGATTAGTGATGTTGAGCATTTCTTCATATGTCTCTTAGCCATTTGTATGTCCTGTTTGGAGAGGTGTCTATTTAGTTCCTCTGCCCATTTTTTTTTTTTTTTATCCTCACCCGAGGACATTTTTCCATTTTTTGTACAGATAGAGTGGGAGGGAGAGAGAGGAAGAGACAGAGAGAGAGAAACATCGATGTGAAAGGGACACATCAAGTGGCTGCCACCACACGACCAACCAGGGCCGGGAACAAACTGCAACCAAAGCCCGTGCCCTTAGCGGGAACTGAACCCGGGTCTCTCCGGACTGCAGGCCGATGCTCTAACCGCTGAGCCAAACTGGCCAGGGCCCTTTGCCCATTTTTTAACTGGGTTCTTTGACGTCCTTTTGTTGAGTTGTATGAGCACTTTATATATATTGGAAATTAACCCCTTATCTGATACATCATTGGCAATGATGTTCTCCCATACAGTGGGTTGCCTTTCCATTTTGATGACTGTATCTTTTGCTGTGCAGAAGGTTTTGAGTTTGATATAGTCCCATGTGTTCATTTTCTCCTTTGTTTCTGTTGCCTTACGTGATGTATCAGTGAAAATTCTGTTGCGTATGATGTCTGAAATTTTGTTGCCTACATTTTCTTCTAGGATTTTTATGAATTCATGAGTCACATTTAAGTCTTTTATCTATTTTGAGTTTATTCTTGTGTATGGTGTAAGTTGATGCATGTAGCGTTTTTTTGCATGTAGCTGTCCAATTTTCCCAACACCATTTATTAAAGAGGCTGTCTTTACTCCACTGAATGCTCTTGCCACCTTTGTCAAATATTAATTGAGCATATTGCCTTGGGTCCATTTCTGGGTTCTCTGTTCTGTTCCACTGGTCTATATGTCTGTTCTTGTGCCAGTACTAGGCTGTTTTGACTACAGTGGCTTTGTATTATAACCTGAAATCTGGTAATGTGATCCCTCCAATTTTGTTCTTCTTTTTCAAGATTGCTGTGGCTATGCGAGGTCTTTTTTGGTTCCATATGAACTTTTGAAGTATTCTAGTTCTGTGAAGTATGTCATTAGTATTTTGACGGGATTGCATTGACTCTATAGATTGCTTTGGGTAGTATGGACATTTTAATGATGTTAATTCTTCCAATCCATGAACAAGGTATGTGCTTCCACTTTTTTATATCTTCCTTTATTTCTTTTTTCAATGACCTGTAGTTTTCTGCGAATAGGTCCTTTATTTCTTTGGTTAAGTTTATTCCTAGGTATCTTAATTTTTTTTGCCACGATGGTAAATGGGATTGTTTTTTCAGTTTCTCTTTCTGTGAGTTCATCATTGGTGTATAGAAATGCCATCAATTTCTTGGCATTAATTTTGTATCCTGCTACTTTGCTAAATTCATTTATCAAGTCTAGGAAATTTTTGATGGAGTCTTTGGGGTTTTCTATGTATAGTATCATGTCATCTGCAAATAATGACAGTTTTACTTCCTCCTTTCCAATTTGGATCCCTTTTATTTTTTCTTCCTGTCTGATTGCTGTGGCTAAGACTTCCAGTACTATGTTAAATAAGAGTGGCGAAAGTGGGCATCCTTGTCTTGTTCCTGTTCTTAAGGGAAATGCTTTTAATTTTTGCCCATTGAGTATGATGTTGGCTGTAGGTCTTTCATGGGGTGCTATTTAATACTCAGTGTTTTTCCATGTTAGTCCAAGGCCCACGGGCATTAGAATCAGCTGTGAGTCTAGTTAGAAATGTAAATTCCTGAGCACTACGGCCTGCAGTTCTGGTTTGGAGCTAAGATTCTGATTTAGGGCCAGAGGGTTGAGGGTAGGATGTGTGAGGTAATTATTATATATTTTAAAGATAAGAACAACTCTTTTAGAACATAAAAGCCAAGGCAAAAATGAGAGGTGGGAGTTAAGTCAGAGAGAGCCTTTTAGTCGTGCAAAGGAGCTGGATTTCACCTATGGGCTAGTGGTTCTCTGAGTGTGATCCCAGGACATGGAGCCACAGCATCACTCAGAAATTTGTTGGAAATAGAAATTTTCAGCAATAGTTATCTTAACATAACTGCCAAAGATAATGGGAACCACTGAAAGATTTCAAATAAAGGAAGGATTATGTTCACATCTGTATTTCAAACAAATTACACAGGCTGCACAGTGGAGGATAATTTAGAAGAAGCCAGACCAGGAGTGAAGTCACCAAGGAAGTGACCAGGTGTGAAGCCAGAGGGCTCTGATGGAGCCATATAGTTTCTAGAGAGGTTCTTCACCTTGGCTTTCTCCCCTCCTGGGAAGGCTGCACCAGGCCATCCTCCAAAACAAGAGGCTGCTAGAGGATGAAGGATGTGTTTTTCCTGGTGAGGATGCCTATTGCTAAGCTGCAACTAAAGTTTAGTAAACCCCAGGGGAAAGCAAAGATTGCTAGAAGCACCCATCCCTAAGCTGATGGTATCCTCCAATAGATCTAAGACTGCCCCCCAAACATGAAGGGCTCAGAAACCCAGCCATGTCCTCAGCACTGACTCAAACCACTGCCTCCTCCCCCTCACCCCTGTGTGCCCAGGCAAGAACAATACCCATCCGGTGCCTCCACAGGGCTTAAGAAGCTGATAAAAGCGACACTTGCCCACATCTCAGAGGGGAGCAAGCTCTCAAGCCTGACTCAGACCCTGCTGGCTGGCCTGGATACTGGACTCCTGCCTCTGGGCCTCAGACACTGTAGCTCATCTGGGCTCCTAAATCCAGTGTCTGTGCCTCTGGCCTCAGTGTCCTGAAACCTCAGGGAATTGATCACCCAAACTCCCTTTTCCTGATTCCCCAGAGCACAGCCATGGAGACACCAGATACTAATAGTAGCAAGAAGCTTAAAAAGGGTTCTCAAGTGGCTGCTCACTGTACATCCTGGAAGTTCCCTAGACACAGGTCAGAAATTGCCCTGCCAGTCAGAACAAGGAATGAGAGGAGAGGACATAGTGGCCATCCTATAATTGTTTGCAGTTTAAAACAAACAAAAAAAGTGTTAAATCCCAGGAATCCAAGTTGCCAGTGGTTCTCAATGGTGGTCAATGTTATCCCCAAATGGACTTTGGCAATGTCTGCAGATATTATTAATGGTCACAACTGGGATGAGGGAATGGTACTGGCATCTGGTAGACCAGAGATGCTGCTAAACATTCTACAATGCCTAAAACAGCGCCCCCAACAAAGAATTATGCAGCCCAAATGTCGACAGTACCGAGGTTGAGAATGTCTGCTCTGGCCAATCCCAGGCTCACAAGAATCCTTAACTGGCCCCAGACTTGCCCAAGGAGGCAGTTAAAGCCAAAATTCAAAGCCTCTGTCTTAGATGTCCCAGCTGAGTGCCTAAGAATCCTAGAGATGTATGAACCCGGGATGGAGACTCCAAAGCTGCCCAGAGAAAGCAGAGAGTGTGGAGGAAGTCACTGATCCTCCCACAATGACCCCTGAATCAGCTAAGAGTTTCTGAACCATCTGCTAATTCTGGGTCACCATGACAGCCCACAGCTTGGCTTAGGACAGATATGTGCCTAGAGCTAAAATAGGAATTTTAGGAACCCCCCCCAGGATATTCCTGGGAATGTAAGGTAAAGCTATTCCTAATGGCCTTAGAAAATGATAATCCAGCTACTGAAGGTCTGTCTAAATATCACAGACAGCCTACTGGAGAGGGGAAAGAGGAGGCAGGCACACCCAGGAGGGATGTGTAATGCACATTTGTAACAGGGAACTCTGTCCTGGAATGAACTCTGAGAGCTGGCCTCCCAAACAAGTATTCAGGTGCTTCGTTATTTGTCTGAACTGGAGGGCTGGCCAATGTGGGAAGTACACTGTGCACCCAAAGAATGCTGAAGGCAGAAAGAGACCCGATGTCCATGCTGAGACTTACATGTAAGTCTTTTATGGCTTGTTGTAAGCTGTAAGTATTAGAAAACCTACAACACTGGTTATTTTAAGTACTATCATTTTTATTGCTTTATTTGAAAATGTTTTCTAATTCATCATTTAAAATTAAAAAAAAATTTTTTTATCCTCACCCGAGGACATTTTTGCATTTATCTTTAGATAGAGGGGGGGGGGCACATTGACGTGAGAGAGACACATTGACTGGTTGCCACCCACACAACCCCAACCAGGGCCAGGGACAAACTGCAATCGAAGTACGTGCCCCCCCTTAGCAGGAACTGAACCTGGGACTCTCTGGTCCATGGGCCAACACTCTAACCACTAAGCCAAACCCACCAGGGCATAAGTCATCATTTTAGATGTTTCTTATATAATATGATCAATTGATTGTGGATGTTCATTTTTTTGTTAATCATAAAATTTGTTTTTCCTTGCCCTGGCCAGTTTGGCTCAGCGGTTAGAGCGTCGGCCTACAGTCCAGAGAGATCCGGGTTCTGTTTGTCCCCGGCCCTGGTTGGGTTGTGTGGGTGGCAATCGCTCGATGTGTCCCTTTCAGGTCAATGTTTCTCTCTCTCTCTCTCCCTCTATCTGAACAAAAAAATGAAAAAATGTCCTTGGGTGAGGATTAAAAAAAAATTTTTTTTTTAATTTGTTTTCCCCCAAATTTACTATGTTCTAAAATATGGTCAGAAAATACAAGGTCCAAATGCCATCTATTTCCTTGGCTACAGTGCTTTTCCCACATACTCTTGTCTAATACCTGTGTTGTAGGATTGTTGGGAGGATTACATATAATAAGGTAGGTAAGAAAGACATCACAATGCCTAGCATAGAGTTAGGTCTAGATGTTAGTTATTACTACCACCAGCAGCAAAAGCACCTGAGAGTTCCAGATCCGAGTTGCAAACCTGATTCCCCAGGTAGGAAGAAAGTCCATGCCTTACTAGTTTATTTCTCCTGTCTCTATTATCTCTATCTCCTGGCAGCCAAATCCACTTTTGAGTCCAACCAATAGAGTGAGGTGCAGTTTTTCAGCCAACTTTGATAAAAACAAGATATATATTAACCGTCTTCAGCCACTTTCAGCAGGGCTTGATGTTAACCCTCCTTTCCTGGATCCAAGGTGTGGTAACCTAGCCTACCTGCAGAACTCAAGCACCCCTTAAAAGTTCTTTCATCTTAGCCTGTCCAGGAGTCCAGTGCCCCATGGGTGTGTGTCCATATGGATACAGACATAGCAGGACTTTGGTCTTGCATGACATGATGGCCCAGCCTTTTGACCAAGTGTCCCAAGAAGAAAAGAAATGATTTACAGAGCTGGTGGGGCTGAAGGACTGCATAGGGCAAATCTCAAATGAAAGATATTGCAGCCCTCTGTCGTGCACTTTCCTACTCTGGTCCCCTGCATCACTCCTGCCTTCCTCAGCACTTTCTATTTAGGGCTGTCATGATCTTTCATTCTGAACAAAGTTTCTTTTGTGTTCTAAAGGAAACTTTACCCTCTGCAAGAAAAAAAAATGTCCAAGTCTCTCTGGAAATATAACTATGTAACATAACAATGGTTCAATTCACTCATTTGGTGTCTGTGTTTTTTATAGAGATGTGTCCTAAGATATAATATTGATACATGCCATTAATATGGATGTTAGCTGAGATTACTAGTTTATGATAATGTATAACACTATTGACAACATAAAAACATCTCTGCTATCTGCTAATTTTATGACTTCTATTATCATATAATTAATGTATAGAGTAAAAGAATGTTTGTGAAACATTGATTTGAGGGAGAATGAATCAAGGAGGCAGAAAGATTGAAAAGAGAATATCTAGATAAGGGCTGTTAGGAAAATATAAACAATAGATGATGAAGATTTGAGTCAAAATTATAATTTGGTCCTGGCCCACGAACAAAGTGGTTAGGGTTCAGTTCCTGGTCAAGAACATGTACCTGGGTTGCAGGTTGGATCCATAGCCCTGGTCAGGGTGCATTCCGGAGGCAACCAATCAATGTGTCTCTCTCACATCTCTCTCTCTCTCTCTCTCTCTCTCTCTCTCTCTCTCTCTCTCTCCTCCCATCCCTCCCTCCTTCCCTCCCTTTCACCTTTCACTCTTTCTAAAATCAATGAAAAAAATATCCTTGGGTAGATTATTATACACACACACACATATGTATGTATGTATTTGCGATTATACCTAATGAATACATAACCAAATCCCTAAATATCTGTCACCTTTCCAAATCTGCAAATTTTCTAGTCTTAGAAGAACATAATTCCTATATCCCCAGCCCACACTCCTCACTAAGGCAAGTTATTTTGTTACTGATCTCAGCACAGAGTAGCCAAACAGGCACTTCTCCCTCATTCTTGGCCCAAATTCGTCCCTGCCTGGAGCCCAGAAGACATACCTGGACAGGGGCAAAGCAGGACACTTTGCTGTGACCTCTCTGGCCACAGCCTCTCACCAGAGAGTGGTCACCGTCATGAGCAGTATTCAAAACCAGAAACCAAGGTGTGGTTCGAGCTCCTTAAACTCGAGGGTTTGGGAGCTCCTGGTGAGTCCCCAGAGAAGAGTCCAGAAGAAGAGGATGGAAGGGGAGTGGGCCCCTGTGCAGGGATTCCTCCTCTATCTCACTGTCAGCCTTCTGCTTCAAGGTAAGATGGGGCAAGAACAGGGAAGACCATACTTACCTGGCAGGGGAGATGCCATGATCGCGAAGGTGGTTTTCCCAGGGAGAGGCTTATTCATTGCACTCCGGATGGGCTGACCCCTGCGACTTCCCCAAATGTGGGAAACTCGACTGCATGATTAGTCGCAGTGGGGGACTGCGTTCACACTCTAAAAAAAAAAAAAAAAAAAAAGGAACAGGGAAGACCAGAGTGTGGTTCTGAAGGACATCTAGAAACTTCCCTCTAGCACTTGGAGGGCATTTAATTTAACATGTTACATTATTTCTTCCATAATGCCTATGTCTTGCTTTCCTTTTGGTGACAGATAGAAGGCATTCCACTGGTCAGGACATATAGCCTTCCTCTATTCCTGCCTGCATAGGGATCTGCCAGACTGTCCCATTTCACCCCTTCTCCAGCGCCACCTTTTCACTGATCCCCAACACCCCTTCCACCATGTGTCAGCCCACTCTCCCTCTCTCTTTCCTTTGACATGGTATCTGTGAAAAGAGTAGTCACTCATTTTAAACATGCCTTTGAGTAAGGAAAACATCAAGGGAGGGTGGGGAGCAATCTGAGGCAGAAGGAAGTGGATACTTTACTTCCATGAGGGAATATTTGTTCCAGTCAGGGTACATACATTCAATATTATGGAAAGAGATGGAGATGAAGAGCACAGAAAAAGATCAAATAAGATGAAAAAGAGGTAAAGATTCTGCTCAGGTACTACTCAGACAGCTCCCTGGCCATGGCCAAGAGAAAACACCACAGAGGCCTCACTATGTCATTGACATATACTGTATGTTCAGTGGTATCGGCTAATGATCCCCATGCTGGAAATAAACCCCAAGATATTGGAGGTCACTAAATCTAAAATAAGCAAAATACAAATGCATAGCACCAAGGTAAACACCCACTTGGAATGCCTTCTACATATTCCTCATCTACCTAGTAAGTGCAGTTGTTTGCTTCTCTTATCTTTTTGATACATCGGTTCTTGCAGAAGTCCCTGGGGATGAAATGCAGAAGAGAAATTCATCAGAACAGACTGAACTACCAGTTTCAGAGCACTGCTCAGCAGCGCTACTAGGTGGACCCAAGAGGCTTGTGAGGGGCACACTAAAAGACTCGTTAAAGTGGCTGTCATTGTGCAAGGCTGGTTTGCATATAGATTTGGGCAGGTTTTGCATGAGCATGAAACAATGGGAATGAGGGTAGAGCCCTGACTCAGCTCACCACATCGACTTCCACCATTTGCCTACTAGACCAACTCATCCTCTCCAGCCCTGGCAGGAAGGGGTTTTGGTCTTGGGGAGTCTTGGCACAAGAAGGAGGGTTCATGTGTTTTCTCTCTTTGCAAAGAGGCTCCAGCCCTGACAATAGAGACCCTCTCTCACAGAGTCTCTGTTCTCTACAGGAAGAGGTAACACTTTCATCATCAATTGCTCAAGGTTTGACCAGTATGGGGTGGATCCTGCTGTCTTCCAAGCAGTGTTTGACAGAAAGGCCTTTCGTCCATTCATCAACTACAGCATCCCCACTCATGTCAACATCTCCTTCACCCTATCTGCTATCCTGGAAGTGGTGAGACCTGGCCCCCACTTTCCATAGCTTCTAATAGGGAACAAGGATCCTCTGCTCTGTCCACCCAGCAGTATACTGATCCAGTGGTGAACAATAGGTACTCTGAATGGATTTCGTATAAATAGAGGTGTTTCCTATGAAATGGGGAGACATAAATAAGAAGGCTGCAGTGACATTTTTTCAGGAGGGATTTATCCTTGAGTCCTGTTCTTTCTGAATGCTCAAGAAAGAAGGGGTCTATCTGACAATTAAAACCTGAATTGTGCCTGGCCAGTGTGGCTCAGTGGTTGAGCATCAACCCTTTCACCAAGAGGTCACCGGTTCGATTCCCGGTCAGGGCACATGCCCAGTTTGTGGGCCTGATCCCCAGTGGGGGGCATGCAGGAGGTGACCAATCGATGTTCTCTCTCGTCGATGTTTCCATCTTTCTTCCTCTCCCTTCTTCTCTCTCTGAAATCAATAAAGAAAAACAAAACAAAACCTTGAATTGTACCTAAATACCAGGGGAGACAAGTGAGAAAAGGACAGTCCAACATTTAGAACTATGCATGGTCCAGTAAATTAGTAAATATTAATAAGACTATGAGGTGGGAGTGGGTCAAGTCTTTTTGCACTAATAATCCTGGGTGGGAATTTCTTTACCAGGATGCACAGCTCCAGCTTCTGACATCATTCCTGTGGATTAGTTTGGTAAGGCAGATGCAACTATCCCCTTCCCACTTCCATTTATAAGTTTAATTTGAGAAGTGACGTAAAGGTCTTCCAGTCCAAACCTCTGGCCAATGTATAAATCTTTCTGAGATAAAATAACTCCATTTAGAACTGTGGGGACATTCATCTCCCTGAACCGCTTAGGAAGGTAGAAATGGTGACCCAAGAAAATGGCCAAGTGGTTGCAAGCCAATCTCTTGGTGAGTTCCTGGGTCTGAGAGGTATCAGGCTATAGTTAAGGTCTGCCTGGGGGGGAAAAGGCCAGTAAGGGGTACTTTGCCAAAGACACCTGGCTAGATAAAGAGAAGAAGGTAGGCGGTGGTCATTAAGGACATGAGTAGAGTTAGGGGATCAGAGTTTTAAAAAAAAAAAAATGGGAGAGGCTAATTGGACAAGCTCCAGCATCCTGCACCTCTCTTTCCCTCTGCCCTGTCTGCAGATGTGGGACAATCCTTTCATCAGGTGGAACCCAGAGGAGTGTGTCAACATCAATAAACTCACTGTATCCGCAGAAAACCTGTGGCTCCCGGACATCTTCATCATGGAATCGTGCGTATCTGGGCTGGAAAAGCCAGCATGAAGCTCATCTGCAAAGAAGAGCCAAGGGTCAAGTGCAGGGCCCAGGGACACCAAAAGATTCAGACAGGGCACAGTCTCAATTAATTGACTCCACAGAACACACAAGGAGTAGCAGAGACAAGAGAGAGTGACATTAGAGAAAGAATCCCAAAGGAGAGCACAGTCGGGGAAGACCTGGGAAGAAAGGGAGACAAACGCTTTTTCACGCACCCACAGCACCCACCTCCCCTCCTCTCACAAGCAGCATGGATGTAGATCGGGCACCTCCAGAGCTCGCCGCATATGTCAGCAGTGAAGGTCGAATAAAGTACAATAGGCCATTGAAGGTGACCAGCATCTGTAACCTGGACATCTTCTACTTCCCTTTTGACCAACAGAACTGCACCTTCACCTTCACTTCCTTCCTCTACACAGGTGAGCGAGACACATTTTGGCCGCTATTTAAGATTCACTGGAAGACAATAAGTGGTGTAGATATTATTAGGGAAAGTTTTAGATCAGTGTTTCTCAACTCTGGCTGCCCACTAAAGCTTTTTAAAAAAATACCAATAACTATGCATCACCCCAGAGATTCTAATTTAGTTGTTCCAGGTGGGGCCCAGGTATTGTTATTATTATATATCTCCCTAGGTTTTGCCAATGTGCAGACAGTTAAGAATTACTGCTTTAATTCCTCAATAAAGTTTTTGTTTTGTTTTTTGTTTTTTTGGTATGTGCCCCTAACAGTAACTGAACCCAGGACTCTCTGGTCCGCAGGCCAACGCTCCAACCGCTGAGCCAAACCAGCCAGGGCTAATTCCTCAATAAAGTTTTTTTTAAAACCCAAACTACTTCTTTAGATCTTGGATGGCCCTTGCACCATATCTGATCCTGAGCTACTTCACCTCTATAATTTTTAGCTCAACCCTTTTAACTTTAATAACTAACATACTTAAACCTGTAAATCAATGTAACTGAATGCCACCAGTATCATCTGATGGTGCAAAGGGCCGTACTTACCCCTAAACATCTACAGTTGTATTCCCATCATCTGGCAGATTTGAATAACTCAGTCATTAAAATGGACATGCATATAATTATAAAAATGTTGAGCTGTTCAAGATTGATTTCACTAAAACAGCATCATACGACTGGGGAAATGAGAAGAAAAATAGAAATGACTCCCATTTGAGTCATTTTCAAAATTCCCACAACTACTTTGACTCATCCTTGTTCTCAACAACAAAAATCAGTGCTGCAGCCCACATACATATGAATTGCTTGTCCTGTGACCCACTACTGAAAAGCTTGATGCCCTGCTTTTAAAAGGACAAAGAGGGAAACTTGCTGAAGAAATTCAGTGGAGGAAGAATTGAATTTTGTGGGCAGGCAGCTTGGGAACTTGTGGACTGAGCTGACCTGGCCTCCCTTGCAGTGGACAGCATGCTTCTGGGCATGGACAAGGAAGTGTGGGAGATAACAGACACGTCTCGTAACATCATTCAGACCCAGGGAGAGTGGGAGCTCGTGGGCATCAACAAGGCCACCCAAAAGATGTTGGTGGGCAGCAGTGTATATGACCAGATCATGTTCTATGTAAGTCTTTGACTTCTGATCTTAATTGCTCTGTGGTTTTCCTCTTGATCTAAGGCTCTTTGAGATATAAAAAGAAGCCCGTCCAGTGTGGTTCACTGGTTGAGCATCGACCCATGCACCAGGAGGTCACCGGTTTGGTTCCCAGTCAGGGCACCTGCCCGGGTTGTGTGCCAAATCCCTGGTGGGGGGGCATCCATGTTTCCCTCTCTCCCTCCCCCTCCTTTCCTCTCTCTCTAAAATCAATAAAGAAAAAATATTTAAGAAAAGAAGCTTTAGGGGGTTAAGCACCTGCTCCCCACTTCACCCTATACCCTAATGGCCCTAAAGAAGGATCCCCAAGGACTTCTGCCTTGCAGAGAGGAGGAGCAACTGGGCTCCTACAAGAATGAAGAAGCCATCATCTGATGGTGCAAAGGGCTCTATTTACCCCTAAACATCTAGAGTTGTATTCCCAGCAAGTTGGACACAAATAAAAATTAGAAAACAAATTGGGGGCACTTCTGTAGAAGGACATGTGTTACTTGAAGAGATCATCCCATAGCCAGCCAAATAGCACATCAGCAAGGATTAGAGTCCAATATACAGTTGAGCCTCTGGCTGCAGTTTAATTGCCACATTCTCCACGCTGTCTCCTCCCCACCAGGTGGCCATCAGGCGCAGACCCAGACTCTATGTCATAAACCTTTTGGTGCCCAGTGGCTTTCTGGTTGCCATCGATGCCCTCAGCTTCTACCTACCTGCAGAAAGCGAGACTCGTGCTCCATTCAAGATAACCCTTCTGCTGGGCTACAACGTCTTCCTGCTCATGATGAATGACTTACTACCTGCCAGTGGCACCCCCCTCATCAGTATGGCCCCTCCCACTTTCTGGGGAAGTGAAGGCAGGAGAGGACGGGGAGGGAAACCTGGATAACTGGCTGCCTCTCCACTTGAGGAGGAAAGGGGTTCTGCAGAAAGATTGGATTTGGGGAAAGAGGCTTAAGAAAAGTGTAGAGATGATCCATATTTATAATGGTTTATTTATAACTTGCTTTGTCCTCAGGTGTCTACTTTGCTCTGTGCCTGTCCCTGATGGTGCTCAGCCTGCTGGAGACCATCTTCATTACCTACTTGCTGCACCTGGCCACCACCCAGCCACCACCTATGCCCCAGTGGCTCCATTCCCTGCTTCTGCACTGCACCAGCCCAAGGAAATGCTGTCCCACTGCACCCCAGAAGGGAAACAAGGGCCTGGGACTCACCCCCACCCAGCTACCTGGTAAGGAAGTCAGCACTGCCCACACTTTCTCCTCCAACACCTCCACTTCTCTGCTCCTGCCTCCTTCTCTGCCCCCCTCCCTCCCAGGTGAACTTCACAGCCCACTCTTTCTCTCCATAGGTCTGAAGGAGCCTGTGGAGTTGGTGGGGAAGGTGCCGGGTCCCCGAGAGGCAGAGTTAAATGGGTGTCCTGGGTCAACAAGGGGCCAGCAAGAAGATGAGGCTCAGAAGCAGCATTTGGTCAGCCTGTGGTTGCAGTTCAGTCACATGATGGACACCCTGCTATTCCGCCTCTACCTGCTCTTCATGGCCACCTCCATCATCACAGTCATCATCCTCTGGAACACCTAGGCTGACATCCACATCCATCTCTCCCTGAAAACCACAGCTTGGGTTTCTCCTTGTATTAGGGCCAGTCAGATGTTTGCCTCTTTTTTAATCTTAGCCACTTATCCCTAGAGACTACCATATCCTCTTCTATATTCTCAAAACTTCAACACAGCCCTACCAAGTAGGTTCAGAACAGCCGTGGTCCTCTTCCTGCACACATTTGGTGTCCCTCAGCCACACCCAACTCTGACTTCCTAATCAGTGGAGGTCCAGGTCAGTTGAGTCTCTTCCTGACTGATTGTCCCAATAAACTACTTTCCAGGAAGCACTGTTTCCTCAGTACATTTATGGTGGGTCCACACACTCTGAGGCAGAGAGTCGTCTTGCAGACATTTTGATACTTCACCCTAAACAGGTGTACTATGATTTCATTTTAAGTCTTTCAGACACTTTCATAGTTTAAAAGAAACTAAAGGTCAAGTCTCATTTGCAAAAAATTACTATAAAATAGTTATAATTGCAAAATGTTCCTTTCATCAATCATTTCTATTTAACTTTTCTTTATCTCTCTCATTCCTAAAATTGCTCTTTGAAATAAATATTGTACCATTTTTTTATTCTGACCAGTTTCTCTGATTTTCCAAAATCAAACAGAGAAGGCCTTCTGAATATACATGCTTGGAGGAGGGCCATGAAGACAGTTAAGGACCTCAATGAAAAAGTTCAAGTTCAATAAATTGTCATGCAGCCACATGATGGAATGCTTTGTAGGCATTTAAAGTGAGACTGTAGTTTATGTTAATAAACATGGAAACAGGTTCATGATATATAAAGTGGCAAAAACGAGTTATAAAACAGTATGTATACATTATTTCTGTTTTTTTTTAAAAAAAAAAAAGAGCAATAGAGAGAAATGCAGAGAAAAAGGTATGGATGACTAGACATCAAAACATGAGCAAACTCTGTCCTGGATAATGGATAATGAATTATGAGTGATTGCCATTTTCTTTTATATCTTTATCTGGGTTTTCTTAACTGTTTGCAATGAGCAAATACTATTTTTATTATCAAAAATTATATTTAAAAATTTTTTTAATAATTTTTTCTTTTAAACCAAAGAACTTATATGCATATATGCATAACCAATGAACACAGATAATAATGTAGTGAAGGCAGGGGACAGCCCAGGAGCAGGGCAGAGGGGCCCAATGAGGGGGGAAAAAGGGGGGCATCTGTAATAATTTCAACAATAAAGATAATTTTTTAAAAAAAATAGTATTTTTTTATTTTTCAATTACAGTTGATGTATAATATTATATTAGTGTCAGGTGTGCACTAATAACTTATGAAGTGATCACCCCAATATTTTCAGTAGCCACCTAGCATCATACATAATTATTACAATATTATTGACTATATTCCCTATACTGTATTTTACATCTTCATGACTATTCTGTAACTACAAATTTGTACTTTTTAATCCCTTTGATTTTTGTACCCATCTTCTTTACCCCCTCTCCCATCTGGCAATCATCAAAATTTTCTCTGTATCTATGAATCTGTTTTTGTTCTTCTTGTTCATTTATTTTGTTTTTTAGATTCCACGTATAAGTGAAATCATAAGGCATTTACCTTTCCCTGTCTGACTTATTTCACTCAACAATGTACCCTCTAGTTCCATCTATGTTATTGCAGATGGCAAAATTTTATTGGTTTTACTCTTGCCCAGCAAAGCTATTACTCAGAATCAAAGGACAGATAATTACAAGAAATGTTAAAGGGTCTTTATGAAGAAGAAGGAGGAGGAGGAGGAGGAGAAGAAGAAAGAAAGAAAGATAAAATATATGAATAATAGCCCAGCCGGTATGGCTCAGTGGATTGAGTGTCATCCCATGGACTAAGAGGTTCTGGTTGGATTCCTGGTCAGGGCACATGCCCAGGTTACAGACAGATTAATGTTTCTCTCTCACATTGATGTTTCTAGCTCTCTTCCTTCTTCTTTCTCTAAAAAAAAAAAAAAAAATGATAAAAACATTTAAAACTATATGAATAATAAAATGGCAGTAAATACATATCTATCACCAATTACATTAAATGCAAATAGATTAAATACTTCAATCAAAAGTCATATGGTGGCTGACAGTGTAACAGTGGGAAATTGTAACCCACCCCATCATTCTTTTGACATTTTTTTCTGTAAATAATGACTCTGACTAATATGTAACCAATAGATAAATAGCATGTTTGTATAAGAATACAAGGAACTGCCCGGCTGGTGTAACTCACTGGTTGAGCATTGACCCATGCACCAAGAGGTCACCAGTTCAATTCCCAGTCAGGGCACATGCCCAGGCTGTGGGCCAAATCGCCAGTAGGTGGCATGCAGGAGGTGGCCAGTTAATGTTCTCTCTCATCAATGTTTCTATCTCTCTCTCCCTCTCCCTTCCTCTCTCTCTAATACCAATAAAAATATATATTAAAAAAAAAAGAATACTAGGAACTTACTTCAAAAGATATAGTCTCTGACCTTCAGTCATCCTAGTTCCAGGAGATTTGCTGTATCTCTGTCACATCAATGTTTCTCTCTCTCTTTTCCTCCCTCCCTCCATTCCACTCTATTTTATTTTTATTTTTTTGTATTTTTTATTTATTTTTTAAAATTATATCTTTATTATTGAATGTATTACAGATGTTCCTCATTTTTCCCCCACTGACCCCCTCTTCCCCACTCCCGCCCCCCTCCTGCCTTTTAACACACTATTGTCTGTGTCCATTGGTTATGCATATATGCATATAAGTTCTTTGGTTTTTTTCTTTCCACCCCCTAACCCCCCTTCCCTTTGAGGTTTGTCAGTTTAGCAACCAATTTGTACTTCTTAATCCATTCACCTTTTTCACCCATTCCCCCATCCCCCTCCCATCTGGCAACCAACAAAATGTTCTTTATATCTATGAAAATGTTTCTATTCTGCTTGTTCATTTTGTTTGTAGATTCAATTGTTGATAGATATGTATTCATTGCCATTTTGTTTGTTCATATTTTTGTTCTTCTCCTTCAAGAAGACCCTTCAACATTTCATATAATAATGGTTTGGTGGTGATGAACTCCTTTAGCTTTTCCTTGTCTGGGAAAGTATATGACCATCGATTCTAAATGACAGCTTTGCAGGAGAGAGTAATCTTGGTTGTAGGTTCTTGCTTTTCATCACTCTGAATATTTCTTGCCACTCACTTCTGGCCTGCAAAGTTTCTTTTGAGAAATCAACTGACAATCTAATGGGAACTCCCTTGTAGGTAACTAACTGCTTTTCTCTTGCTGCTTTTAAGATTCTCTCTTTGTCTTGAATCTTTTGCATTTTGATGATGATGTGTCTTGGTGTGGGCCTCTTGGGGTTCATCTTGTTTGGGGCTCTCTGTTCTTCCTGGACTTGTATGTCTGTTTGCTTCACCAAGTTAGGGAAGTTTTCTGCCATTATTGTTTCAAATAGGTTTTCAATTTCTTGTTCTCTCTCTTCTCCTTCTGGCACCCCCAAGATGTGAATGCTGGCACGCTTGAAGTTGTCCCAGAGACTTCTTACACTATCCTCATTTTTTTGGATTCTTTCTTTCTTTTTTTTTTTGCTGTTCTGATTGGGTGTTTTTTGCTTCCTTAGATTCCAAATCGATAGTTTGCTTCTTGGCTTTACCTACTCTACTATTGAATCTGTGTAAATTATTCTTTATTTCAGTTAGTGCCTCCTTCATTTCTGACTATGCATCCTTCATTTTTGACTGGTCCTTTTTTATGCTCTTGAGGCCCTCACTATGTTCACTAAGGTTCTCACTAAGTTCATTGAGCATCCTTATAAGCAGTGTTTTGAACTCAGCATCTGTTAGGTTGCTTATCTCCATTTCACTTAGTTCTTTTCCTGCAGTTTTGTTCTGTTCTTTCATTTGGGACCTGTTTCCTTGTCTCCTCATTTTGGCTGCCTCCCAGTGTTTGTTTCTATGCATTACTTAATGAGAGGTATAGGGCTAGCTGAGACCAGATGCTGCTTGTTTGAAAGAATTTAGGAAAACCTGAAGCAGGATTCAAGACAGGCCAATCCTATAGTAAACCAACTGGCAACAGCTTGGGTGGGCCTGAAAGTTGGGTGGGGCGGGACCTCAGGGAATCACCAGGGGAGGGCTACCAGTGTGAGCCAGGTTGCTGGAGTCCCAGATATGGCGACTGTCTGCCGCCCCAGGGAAGGGCTCACCAAAGGAACAAAGGCCTCTGACAGCACATCTGTCCTGAAGAAAGCCCCCTCTCCAACCCTTGCTCCAATGCCAAACAGCTCAGTTCTTCCCTGTATGTCTCTGGCACCCCTCAAGCTGCCTCCCCTCCAAGCTTAGAGGGAGTGAGTCCGATAAGTCCGAGCGCGGGCCCTTTAAGAGGAGCTGCCTGGGGCTCCAGCTGCCTCAGCCTCCCTGAGCCTCAGTTCCCTCTGGTTTTCCAGTCAGAAGTTATGAGGATTCTCTTCCTGGCACTGGAACCCTGAGCGGGGTGTCCCTTAGTCCTCAGGGAGTACCCTCTCAGCCGAGGTATCCTCCCGATTTTTACCCACCACACGTTGGTGTGGGACCAGCCCATCGTCCACCTCCACCCCTTTTACCAGTCTCCATTCAGCTGCTGCTTTTTTTTTTTTATCCTCACCTGAGGACATTTTCCCATTTTTTGTTCAGATAGAGTGGGGGGGAGAGAAAAAGAGAGAGAGAGAGAGAGAGAGAGAGAGAGAGAGAGAGAAACATCAATGTGAAAGGGACACATCGAGTGGCTGCCACCCACACAACCCAACCTTACAGGAACCGAACCCGGATCTCTCTGGACCGCAGGCTGATGCTCTAACCGCTGAGCCAAACCAACCAGGGCTTAGTTGTAATTTTGATGTGGTTGTGGGAGGACGCAATACTGCGTTTACCTACACCACCATCTTGACCGGAAGTGCCCTCCACTCTATTTTTTTAAAATCAATGGAAAAATATTCTCAGGTGAGGATTAACAATAATAATAATAAAGTAAATTAAGGAGGATGTTAGCCTGTTAGATTGAGGAAGATAAATTTTTATTTGTTATTGAAACTTGTATTAAAAATAAACTTTAGCCCTGGCCAGTTTGGCTCAGCGGTTAGAGCGTCGGCCTGCGGTCCGGAGAGACCCGGGTTCGGTTCCCGCTAAGGGCATGTACTTTGGTTGCAGTTTGTCCCCGGCCCTGGTTGGTCGTGCGGGTGGCAGCCACTCGATGTGTCCCTTCACATCGATGTTTCTCTCTCTCTCTCTCTCTCTCTCTCCCCCCGCTCTATCTGAACAAAAAATGGAAAAATGTCCTCGGGCGAGGATAAAAACAAAAAATAAAATAAAATAAAATAAACTTTAGCCCTGGCCGGTTTGGTTCAGCAGTTAGAGCGTCGGCCTGCGGTCCAGAGAGACCCGGGTTTGGTTCCCGCTAAGGGCACGTACCTCGGCTCTGGTTTGTCCCTGGCCCTGGTTGGTCGTGCGGGTGGCAACCACTCAATGTGTCCCTTTCACATTGATGTTTCTCTCTCTCTCTCTTCCTCTGTCTCCCTCCCACTCCATCCGAACAAAAAATGGAAAAATGTCCTCGGGTGAGGATAAATAAATAAACTTTAAATATAATCTTTAATATACTGATCCAAAATAAATAAATAAATTAAGCTAAAGCCAGTTCTTTAACATATAACGGTGATGTAAACCAAGATGAAAAATTCCCCATGGAGGTTGTTAAGCATCTACTTAGAAGGGGTGCTTTGGGCCTCAGTACGGAGAAGACAGTAACAACTGCAGGCAGCTCGCCCATGTGTAGGCCAAAGCTGGGGTGTGCAGTCTCAAGGAACACAACAGAAATCCTTGGCCACCAGATCCGTCTGCCGCCACAACCCTGAAGGCCTTCCATCTTTCTGGATATTTCCAGCGCTTCCTGTAGGCAGAAGAGCCTGCCACAGACCAGATAGATTCCACTGGCCCAGAGAATCCAACCCTCGTGGACCCCAAATTCATGGCTGTCAAGAGGTAGTTCAGGGATTTGTAACTGCAGCTTAAGGCCACGGTCTGAAGTGGTGGACATGGAGTCCAAAACAGCCTTTTCTCTGCTTTCCTCCGTGGTTGCTTTATTACAAGGGAGCCCCTCGGGCTAGGGACCAAGGGCTTCGCAACAGTCTTCCTAGCAAGCGGTGTCACTGCTTAAACCCTGGGTGGGCAGGCAGGCTTCTCCTCCTCCTCAGTGTCCTCTTGGAGCTGTTGGAAGCACCTTCATGCCCACTTTATCTTTGCTCTACATTTCTGTGGTCGTCATAGGAGCTGAGTTCTTGGGAGAGTGGCTGCATAAGATTGGGAATAAAAGAGTCCCAAGAGGTTGCCCACATTTCTAGTAACTATCCCACTTGCCACACAGACAGCAAACCAGGTGTCCCCATAACAGAAGACTGTCACCACGGGTCCCTGCAGCATGAAGCACCAGGCAGAGTGCCTTGCTCTCAGTGCTGCTGGATGGAGGGTCAGGGACTTCTGCCCCTTCTGACCCCTCAGTAATTTAGTCCACTCTTCTTCAGTGTTGATGATGTACAGACTCCTCCAAGACCACACTTGTTCACTACATGGATGGAAGGGGGAAAGTCTCGTTCTTGGCATCAGTTTTATCCAGTGGCTGGGTAACATTCTTTGGTTTGATCTGAGGTTCTTAGAATTCTACAAAAGCAACTGCTTAACTGGCTTTCCAGCTTCCTTGGCTGAGGTCCAGGCTTTCTTCTCTGCCTCCTCTGCCTTTGCTTTTTTGGTTTTGGCTCTCCATCTACAGAACCTTCCGGCATCTGAGGTGGATGTAACTCTTTTGCTTTTCTTTTGCTTATTCAAACTACCAATGGGTCTCCCCGTCTTCTTTCCTGAAGGGAAAACCTCCTGTTTGGGGGAAATTATCACTGCATTGGTCTCCTTCACTTCAGCCTTGGGGTTTGTCTTAGGACCTGCTGGAGATACATTCTTTGAATCAGGAAAGATTTAACATGCTGCCCCATCCAAGGAACCATCTGGTTCCCTAGATTACTCCCATGCTTCTGCGAGGTTTCAGTTGTCAAGGCACAGGGGTTCCTTTCCAGCAGTAACCATGTCTTGTGTGCCTCCATCTTCACTGTGGTACCCACTGCCTCGCCACTCCTCTACAGACCTCTCAAGAGGCTTTTCTGCATTCAACTCCTGGTTTGTTGGACAGATTGGGTCGGATACCACCTCACCTTTTCTCTTCTCCATCTCAGCATCCTAAGCAGCAACACTCCCACCTTCAAGAGGGTCACTCTTCAAAGACAGTATGTCATCCAGAGTAATTGTGTCTCCCTCAGACTTGCACTGTTTGAAGACACACTCCTAATACTTGGGGACCGTGATCTTCTAAACGATAGCTTCCAATTTGAATTCCCATTTACATCGGGCAGTATTTTGGTCTTATCAGGACTTATGAGGGTAGCAGCGGAACAGTTTCTACTGTCTGGACTTGGAAGGTTCTTAGCGGATTCCCTCTTAGGTATGGATTGAAATCCTGTGTAGAAATTCAATGTTTGTTTTTTGTTTTTATTTTTATTTATTTATTTATTTTTTATCCTCACCTGAGGACATTTTTCCATTTTTTGTTCAGATAGAGTGGGAGGGAGAGAGAGGAAGAGAGAGAGAGAGAAACATCGATGTGAAGGGACACATCAAGTGGCTGCCACCCTCACGACCAACCAGGGCCGGGGACAAACTGCAACCGAGGCACGTGCCCTTAGCGGGAACCGAACCCGGGTCTCTCTGTACCGCAGGCCGATACTCCAACCACTGAGCCAAACCGGCCAGGGCTTTTGTTTTTGTTTTTATCCTCACCCGTGGACATTTTTTCTATATTTTGTTCAGATAGAGTGGGAGGGAGAGAGAGAGAGAGAGAGAGAAACATCGACGTGAAAGGGACACATCGAGTGGTTGCCACCCACACGACCCAACCAGGGCCAGGGACAAACTGCAACCGAGGTACGCGCCCTTAGCAGGAACCGAACCCGGGTCTCTCCAGACCTCAGGCCGATGCTCTAACCGCTGAGCCAAACCGGCCAGAGTGGGTTTTTTTTAATCCTCACCCGAGGACATTATTTCATATTTTGTTCAGATAGAGTGGGAGGGAGAGAGAGAGAGAAACACCAACGTGAAAGGGACACATCAAGTGGTTGCCACCTGCACGACCCGACAAGGGCCGGGGACAAATTCCCTGGTGGCCTCAGGGCTGTAGGCCTTTGGAGACATTTGATAAGGAAGGTGGGCAGGACAGTTCAGTTTTAGGAGAATGGCAAAATGAAGGATTAGACTTGAGGGAATTAACCATCTAGAGCAGCGGTTCTCGACCTGTGGGTCACGACATCTTTGGGGATCAAACGACCCTTTCACAAGGGTCACCCAAGACATAACAGTAGCAAAATTACAGTTATGAAGTAGCAACAAAAATAATTTTGTGGTTGGGGGTCACCTCAACACGAGGAACTGTATTAAAGGGTCGTGGCATTAAGAAGTTTGAGAACCTCTGATCTAGAGGAAACCTGATAAATAAGTTATTCCAATAGTGCAACAAAGGGATGATACAGATCTGCACTGTAGTGCTAGATGTGGACACAGAGACCTGTTAGTCAGGTTTATGTCATGAAACAGGAACTTAACTTCTCAATCAAGCTTCTTATCTCAATATTGACAATAATCACTAATGTCCACAGTAGGACAAAGGATTCATTTCTACATTTGCAACACAATAATTACATGTTCTTGCCTTTCGAAATTAGCAGGTGTCCCTGCATAACTAGCCCTTTTCCAGGGTTACATGCATGTTCTCTGAGGCACCATAACTTCCAGAAGGACCTGATGAGGCCTTTATCAATAGCCTCACCTGCCCCATCTCCCAAGTCACTCATTTTTCCCTGTAAAGTACTTGGAATTGAGATTTTAAACCACTCATCTAGACAAGGTTGCTAAATAGGCACTTCTCCCCTAGTCTTGGCATAACTTCCTACCTTTCTGGAGCCCAAAAGACATAGCTGAACAGGGCAAAGCAGGACACTCGGCCGTGACCTCTCTGGCCACAGTCTCTCACCGGGAGTGGTCACCTGTCATGAGCAGTATTCAAAACCAGGTACCAAGGTGTGGTCTGAGCTTCTTTAAGCTGAGGGTTTGGGGGCTCCTGGTGAGTTCCCAGAGAAGAGTCGAGAAGAAGAGAATGGAAGGGGGGTGGCCCACCAGGAGTGGACTTCTCCTCTGCTTCACTGTCAGCCTTCTGCTTCAAGGTAAGATGGGCAAGAACAGGGAAAGATGGGAATGCTGTTCTTGGCAAAATCCAGAAACTCTTTCATTCTTCAGAACTACAGTGCATCTAAAATAGCTGGGTTAAACATTTCCTTTCTTTGTAGCATGTATGTTTGGTTTCCTTTGGGGAGAGATGAAAAACCCATTTCACTGATCAGTACGCACAGCCCCTCTCTCATTTGCCTATATAGACATCTACTAAATTGTTTGTCCTACCATTTTACCACCTCTCCAATTCCACCCTTTTATAATATCCAACTTCTCCTTTCTACCAAGATATAGCAACTGTGAAGAGGGTAGCTTGGTCCTATTAACAATAACAAACTCCTTTCCCACCTCACATGGGAAGGTCTTATAGAAGAGGTGTATGGAGGGAAAAGGACAACATTTGCTTCCCCTCAATACCTTTCTCCTTAGTTTGGAGATGTACCTTATGATTAACTGGTCTAGAGATATAGTGGAAGAGGCTATAGTCCCAGGAATAAATAACCACAAAGCCATCTGGGATTAGGGTGCAGGTGAGGTGGGCAGAAGGGCTTTTACATTTTATTGTAGAGCTTTACCAACCACATGGTGAATGATCAAAGAGATCTTCTCCAGATGGAGATGATGAAAGTGGCTCCCAGCGATCTTCTTGGAGGAAGTCAACGAATTCGAGCAGGTCACAGAGAGAGCATACAGCGGGTAGTCAATAAATTCACATTGAATCCGACTTCCTTAAGTCCCCACATAGCTTACATCACACTCATGTTTACATCTCTCCAAACTTTTCCTTTCGGAAAATGAGAAAACATGAAAGTGGGAAGAGAAAGGTTTTAAGGAAATTTTGATCAGTGACTATGAGGAAGAATCATAATAGAGCTAGAGAGAAAAAAGTATGCTCAAACAAGAGCCAAAACTTTAAGTGCATCTAAAGGTTGCAACTCTGGAAGGAATAAGACTCCCCAGAGAGACTGTTTGCATACAAATTTGTGTGGTCTTTGTAGGGGAGAAAAGCACAGGAAGGTCTGAGCCCTGAGCCCTGAAAGGTCAGCTCACCACATCAACTTCCGCCATTTGCCTATCAAACCAGCCTATCCTCCTAGCCCCGTCAGGAAGAGCTAGGCCTTTGAGAAAGAGACGTCCACATGCCTCACCCCGTGTCCACATTTTCTTTCTCTGCTGAGAGTCTCTCAGATCTCAGTTCTGACCCAAAAGCCTTATTCCCATCTCACAAGGGCTCTGCTCTCTACAGGAAGGGCAAACACATTCACCATCAACTGCTCAGGCTTTGACCTGCATGGGGTAGACCCTGTTGCCTTCCAGGCTGTATTTAAACAGACAGACTTCCGTCCGGTCACCAATGACAGCATCCCCACCCAGGTCAACATCTCCTTCACTCTGTCTGCCATACTGGAAGCGGTAAGTTCTGACAACATCCTTTCCATAGACTGCTAATAAGGAACAAGGGGTCTTTACCCTGTTAATCCAACATTGCATTGGTCCAGTGGTGAGCAATGAGTCACCTGAATGGATGTTGTACAAATTAGATGATCATCCTATGGGGTGGAGAGACATGAAGGGGAATGTTGCAATGACATTTCTGCAGAGAACATTTGTCCTTGAGTCCTGTCCTTATGAGAATGTTCTATAAAAAACATATTCCCAGTGGGGCCCCATGCTGTTTTTCCTCTACATTTTCATACAACCAGCATTTTTTCTGACCTATCTTTCTTTTGGAACTTGTGAATGAAAAGCTGAACTGTCATAGGGAACCACTTAGGTGCCCTGGCCGGTTTGGCTCAGCGGTTAGGGAACCACTTAGGAAACAAAGGCAGAAGACAGACTAGGACCTGATTTCATGACATTAATCATCCTGACTGGTTTTGTTTGTTTGTTTGTTTGTTGTTTTTCTTTTGATCAGAATGCACAACTTCAACTGCTGAAGTCATTTCTGTGGTTAAAGTTGGTATGTAACATCAACTTTCTTCTCTTTTTCTCTTTTTTCCTGTCTTTGCTTGCAAAAATCACACTCATTGCAATTGACAGTGTCCAAAGGAATAGACACATCCAACCAGAATGGGGCCAGTGTTGGTGACAAATAGTTTTCTGGGCTGCCAAGCAAAGACAGATGGAAAATGCAGGAAGAAGAGGGACAATACAGTTGGAAGCCCCCAAGGAAACTTCAGGGTCCAAATGTATCTAACACCCAGCTTAAGATTTCCTTGAGTGAAAAGTGAAATCCAGCAAGACTCCTTTAGCTACAGAATGGGAGGCATTATCATGAAGTTAAGAAGACAAATCAGAGTTCAAAAGAAAATAAGCTTCTAAAAAAGCAGCATGGATAACAACGTGCATAGTATGATCCTATCTGTCTAAATAAAAATGAATGCTGGAATATGCATTAATTTTCTTTTCTAGAATGATACCCAAGAAACTGTTAATAATGGAACGGAGTTGGGAATATGGACTGAGTTGGAGTGATGAGAGAGGGAGAAGATTTCTTTTTATGTTATAACTTTCTGGAATGGTTGAAGTTTTATTATATACCCATAGTACATGCATTTAGAAAAAATAAATACATATGTATATATATTTTAAGGGAATGGAAGGGCAGAAGATGCTGATATAAACTAGCTCCAGGTTTCAGCCATAACCATCCCTTGTATCCTGTGCTCTAGACCTGGAATAACCCATTCATCAGCTGGGACCCAGAAGAATGTGGTCATATCAATAAACTCACTGTGACAACTGAGAACCTGTGGCTCCCAGACATCTTCATTGTGGAATCGTGGGTATCAAGGTTGGAAATCTGGAGGGAAAACCATTCTGCAAGGAGCACACCAGGGTGCTGCAGGGCAAACCCATTCTGTGGGGCCTCTATAATTTTATTTCAGAGAGGAGCACAATCACAGCTCATTAACTTCTCCTCTAAAAATGGGAAAGTGGTGGGCACAAAAGATGGCAGAGTGGCCATAATGAGCAACATTGGGAAGCCCCACCTTAAGAGAGAAACTCAAACTGCTGTGAAACCCAGAGTGTTTACCTCCCTCCCTTCCTGTCACCCAGCATGGATGTGGATCAGACCCTGGAAGGCCTCTCTGCATATGTGACTAATGATGGTCACATTATGTATAGCAAACCAGTACAGGTGACCAGCATCTGTAGACTGGACATCTTCTACTTCCCCTTTGACCAACAGAATTGCACACTCACCTTTAGCTCTTCCTATACACAGGTGAGTGGTGGTGGGAGTTCTAGATTGGGGTAAAATGAGATCAACCAGTGGGGCAGCAAAAAAGTACACATAGCCCTGGCCGGTTTGGCTCAGCGGTTAGAGCGTCGGCCTGCGGTCCCGAGAGACCCGGGTTCGGTTCCCGCTAAGGGCACGTACCTCGGTTGCAGTTTGTCCCCGGCCCTGGTTGGTCGTGCGGGTGGCAGCCACTCGGTGTGTTCCTTTCACATCAATGTTTCTCTCTCTCTCTGTTCCTCTCTCTCCCTCCCACTCTACCTGAACAAAAAATGGAAAAAAAATGTCCTCGGGTGAGGATAAAAAAAAAAGTACACATAGACAAAGTCCTTTTAACACATAAAAAGGGGCAGTTGAGCCCTGGCCAGTTTGGCTTAGTGGTTAGAGCGTTGGCCTGCAGTAGAGAGACAAGGGTTTGGTTCCACTAAAGGTGCATACTTGGTTGCATTTTGTCCTCATCACGTTGATGTTTCTCTCTCTCTCTCTTCCTCTCTCTCCCTCCCACTCTATCTGAACAAAAAAAAAAAATGGAAAAATGTCCTCAGGTGAGGATAAAAAAGGGAGGGGCAGTTGAGTATTCATTAATTGGGGAAGGTGTGATGGTGGGGTGGGGAACTTAGGCAGGGACAAGACTTCCTGAGAAAGCCTGGTATCGAAAGTAGGCAATTGAACAACAAGGGAGTGATGTTACATGGCAATCTGGAAAAGGTAGCTAAAACAGTTTTTACTTCATTTCTCTGAGCCCTGCACAAGTTGGGGCTGAAAGTATGTTGAATAAATGTTTGTCTCCCCTGCAGTGGAAAACATGTTGCTGGGCATGGAAAGGGAAGTGTGGGCGATAGCGGATACCTCGCATGACGTGGTCCGCACACAAGGGCAGTGGGAGTTTCTGGGCATCAACAAGCCCACCTCGAAGATGTCTGTAGGCTCCAGTGTTTTTGACCAGATCATGTTCTATGTAAGCCCAGAGATCCTGGTATGGATGTCTGTCCCCCAGATCTCCATAATGGGACCCTTCTAGATCCCAGAGCCTCTCATTTCTTGCCCCAAGACCAGAAAGCCCCTGGGCACCATAACCTCTTCCATCTCTCCTTCCTCTCCCAAAGAAGCCCCTTTTTCTGAACCTGTCAGCTCTGGCCTTGGATTTCTTTGGTGGGTGTGGGGGAATTTTGTTAGTCACATATAAGCTGCTTCTCATCATTCAGCCCCAGAAGTACCCCCCTACTGCAATGAAGATGCCAAGAAAGGAAAGGTTGGAGCCATCCTTGGGTCTCCCTTAGGTCTCCTAGCTTCACCTGGCTCTCTGCTTTCTCCTCTCCATCAGGTGGCCATCAGGCACAGGCCCAGACTCTACATCATAAACCTTCTGGTACCCAGTAGCTTTCTGGTTGCCATGGATGCCCTCAGCTTCTATCTGCCTGCAGAAAGCGAGAATTGTGCCCCATTCAAGATGACCCTTCTGCTGGGCTACAACGTCTTTCTGCTCATGATGAATAAACCTGCTAGTGGCACCCCCCTCATCAGTATGTACCCCTCCCCCAACTATTGGATAATGAGAAGTTAAAAAAGACATTGTATGCAGGTGACCTGGCTACACCTGCTGAGCAGATAAGATCAAAAAAAAAAAAAAAAAAGGAGGAAGAAATCATCTTAGAAAGGGCCCTCTGTGTGAGACAGAGAAAAGGAGGGAGGGGGGTTGTTGGTTCTTCTGGACCTGCCTCACTTGGCCTTCTCCTTATCTCCACCCCAGGTATCTACTTTGCCCTGTGCCTGTCACTGATGGTGGTCAGCCTACTGGAGACCATCTTCATCACCTACTTGCTGCACTTGACCACCACCCAGCCCCCACTCATGCCCCAGTGGCTCCACTCTCTGCTCCTGCACTGCACCAGCCCAAAGACATGCTGCCCCATTGCACTCTGGAAAGAGAATGTGGGCTGGATCTCACACCAACCCACCTGCCTGGTAAGGGAAGTCAGCACTGTCCACACGCTCTCAACTTCCACAAACCACCCTCCCTACTCTCGTTGTGTTTCCCAAATTACATATGACTTCATGGCTAAGTGTCTGTCCTCTCTACAGGCCTGAAAGAGCCCAGGGAGTTGGTAGAAAAGAAGCTGGGACCCAGAGAAGCAGAGCTAAATGGGGACTCAGGATTGACAAGGGCCCAGCTCACTGACCTGTGGGTACAGTTCAGCCACTTGATGGACATCGTCCTTTTTCGCCTCTACCTGCTTCTCTTAGTCTCCTCCATCATCACAGTCATCGTCCTCTGGAGCACCTAGGAGCTGAGATCTAATGTGCCAGAGCACCCTGGGGTTCGGGTTTCCTCAGCCTCAACTGACCACCCAGACCTTGCTCTTCTGCACATGCAGACCCATATGCGCCCACGACCCCTGCTCCAGCCCTCCCTGGGCTTAAACAGATTCACTGCTGACTCTCTCAAAAGTGAGGAATACCCGCATGAATGGAAGATGGTGCAGATACTTTAGAAAACAGTTTGGCAGCTCCTCAAAGTGTTGAACATAGAGTTACCATATGACCTCGCAACTTCATTCCTAGATATAAACCCAAGAGAAATGAAAACATATGTTCACACAAAAATTGGAACTCAAATGTTCATAGCAGCATTATTTATAATAGCTAAAAAGTGGAAACAAACCAAATGTCTGTTAACTGATGGATGGATAAATAAAACGTTATATATCCATACAATGGAATATTATTTGGCCATTAAAAAAATGAAGCACTGATACACGCTACAAAATGGATGAACCTTGAAAACACAGGTGGGGGAATCCAGTCACAAAAAACTACATATTATATAATCCCACTTACACCAAATGTCCAGAATATGCTAATCTATAGATTTAGAAAGTAGACTAGTGGCTGCCTAGAACTTGGTGGGGAAAGGGGCAGGTGAGTGAGAAGTGACTGCTAATGGGTACAAGATTGGTGGGGATCATAAAAAATATTCTAAAATTAGACTATGGTGATGATGGCATAACTGTATTAATATACTAAAAACCATCGGATTGTGTGCTTTAAGTGGGTAAATTTTATAGTATGTAAATTATATCTCAATAAAGCTGTTAAACAACAAAAATAAATAAATAACTCCACCAAAAAGTTCTCTCTGCCCACCAATTCCCTTCAGCTTATTTCCTCATTTCACTGCTCCCCACTGCCCTCTCCTCAACTCTCAGATTCCTGGATCCACATATTCAGCTTTCATCAGTGTTTGCCCCTGTACTCCTCCACCATAGATGATTCACAAGGGGCTCATGGACCTCAACTCTCCACTCACCTGTCAGGTTTCCATGCTTCCTTGACGTTGAACATCACCACAGCTTCCGTTCAAAACAGTTTCTACCATCTCTAACTATACGAAATTCTCACAGCCAGACCAGCTCAGGGTTCCTTAATAAAATTTGGCGATTCAGACATTATACCTAAGACAGTAGTTCCCAGAGCCTTGAACTATTTTACATGAAGATGGAGGAGGTTGGGGGAGTGCAATGAAGAACAGTAACCCTGCTTCTCTTTCTGCAGCTGAAGGTGAAATACGGGGCTGGGACAGCTGATAAGCCCTATTGGTGAGCTGGCAGGTGGAGCTCCTGAGCGTGCAACACACCATCAGGCTTAAATGAGAGCTTCTGCTTCTATGGACAGTCCAGTCATCCGGTCCCCAGAACAGTAATGAATGAATAAATGAGTGAAGTATTCATTCATTTATTTATCCAATCTTTACTAAGTGCTTACTTACAGACATTTTTTTCTAAGTTCTGGGGAAATGGCAATGAATAAGACAGATAGGAGGAGTTTGTGTGTGTGTGTTTTACTGATTTTCTAAAGTAACTAATTAAGATGATTTCATATACTGATAATTGTTCTGGAGAAATTTAAAAAGGGTAACAGGACAGAGAATGACACACAGATTAACAGGATGTTCCAGGAAAGCCTCTCTGAGAAAGTGGTATTTGTGCCAGCCCAGAAATAAATGATGAAATAAGAATGAGATATGCCCTGGGATGTGATACTAGTGTATCCATAAGGCAGGTTGGGATGAAACATAACAGGCACTACATTTATAGAAGCTATCTGGACAGCCAGTATCTTTGGATGAGCAAGGTGAGAAACTGGAGGCAGAGTCCCATGTTGGTTCTTTCGTTGCTATTGTATAATGTTTAAGAATTGTAAAAGTAAGCATTTATAATCCACTCAAAGCATTTAGAACAGTATCTTTTAAACAGTTTTGATCACAGAATCTGTTTTACTAATTCATGCATACTGTCTCACTAAAAAAAGAACTGGTGATAATATAGAATTGAAAATAAACAAAATTAAAAGTTGCAATAAACATTGCTGGAATTACATATGGATTTACTTACTAGACACTATGTAAGAGAACATGAGTTAATATGTGTCTTTTTAATTATAACACAATGCCCCAAAACTTTAAATATATTTTATTACACTTAATTTGATATTATATTACAAGTTACTTAACTAGTTTGTACTCCCTGAAAGTACATCACCAATGTGCTGTCACTGCACAAGCAGGTTTGGGGGGAATTTGTCTACAGCCGCTTTAACAATAACAAAGAGATCCAACCACAAAGCAAAACAACATTTGATGAAAATATGGAACACAACACCCTAAAGAAGGAATCAGACAATCCACTTGACATTGAATAGATGATGGATAATGAAACAGAGCTAGCAGTTTATTACTAAAAAGCATGACTAGCACCTCAGGTCAATGTTGTTGATGCACTAACAAAAGCCCTGGAAACAGAGAATTCCAGCAGTTCCCATGCCTGCCTGCAGGCAGGAGTTTTGTGACCTTCCCAGAGGCTACAGGATCTTAGTAGAATGCCACATTTGAATCTTGAGGACACTCAGACTGTGCACAAATTTTAGTTTAGCAATCCTGAATTACCATGGTTTTAGTAATAAGTAAAACTGAAAGGAAGTCCTGAAGAAAGGACTTGAATTTGTCTGCCCTTCAGAGGGCTCTTACTGCCCTCTAGTGGGGACCCAATCAGGCACCTCTGAGACCATTAGTGACCCTAGGATCTGTGCAAATCAGCATATGCATAGTGTGCCTATCTTATCCATATATTCCGGACTAAAATTTGGACACGCTGTCAGATTTTTTTCTGATTTGTAAAATTATTTATATAAATAGCCTTACAAAAATCTATAAACAAAATTACATTCACAGACTTAGTGGTTTGCCTTTATTTTGTTTGTTTGTTTGTTTGTTTGTTTGTTTTAAATCCTCACCTGAGGACATTTTTGCATTTCAGATAGAGCAGAAGGGAGAGAGGGAGGAAGAGAGAGAGAGAAACATGGATGCGAGAGAGACACATTGACTGGTTGCCACCCACACAACCCCCACCAGGGCCGGGGACAAACTGCAACTGAGGTACATGCCCTTAGCGGCAACCGATCCCAGGTCTCTCTGGACCACAGGCCGACGCTCTAACCGCCGAGCCAAACCAGCCAGGGCTGGCTCGCCTTTATTAAAAAACTAAGTTACCCGCCCAGCTGGTGTGGCTCAGTGGTTGAGTGTCATTCCATGCACCAAGAGGTAGCCAGTTCAATTCCTGCAAGGGCACATGCCCAGGTTGTGGGCCCGATCCCCAATGTGAGGCATGCTGGAGTTGGCCAATCGATGTTCTCTTTCATGGATGTTTCTATCTCTCTCTCCCTCTCCCTTCCTCTCTCTAAATTCAATAAAGGAAAAAAAGTTTTAAAACCAAGTTACATGAGCCTGGCCAGTGTAGCTCAGTGGTTGAGCATCGACCCATGCACCAAGAGGTTGCCAGTTCAATTCCTGGTCAGGGCACATGCCCAGGTTGTGAGCCCGATCCCCAGTGGGGGGCATGCAGGAGGCGGCCAGTTAATGTGGTCTCTCATTGATGTTTCTATCTCTCTCTCCCTCTCTGTTCCTCTCTCTCTAAAAATCAATAAAAGAAAATTTTTTTTTTTTTAAAAACCCAAGTTATGCCCTGGCCGGTTTGGCTCAGCGGTTGGAGAGTCGGCCTGCGGTACAGAGAGACCCGGGTTCGGTTCCCGCTAAGGGCACGTACCTCGGTTGCAGTTTGTCCCCGGCTCTGGTCAGTCGTGCGGGTGGCAGCCACTCGATGTGTCCCTTCACATCGATGTTTCTCTCTCTCTCTCTCTCTGTTCCTCTCTCTCCCTCCCACTCTACCTGAACAAAAAAATGGAAAAATGTCCTCGGGTGAGGATAAAAAAAAAACAAAACCCAAGTTACATGAAAAAAAATATGAGAGTTGTAAAGAAAACAAAAAACACTTATCAACTAACATGCACCTGTAAGTTCCATCATTGACCTACCATTGAAGTCAACAAGTTGATGAGCTATTATTCCATTTGTCCTTGTTGAAAAAGAACTCTGCTTGTTTGAGTATTAATGGGTCTGCAGTAAAATAGATATGTGGCAGCTTTTATATTTGTCATGAAAAGTTGTTAGTTTAGGCTTTTCCTTGGTTTGGACATAGGAAAGTTATTTTGATAAATAGCCATCATCTACTGAATACTTCTCATATGCAAAGTCCATTACATTCATTAGCTCATTTGATCCTCACAACAATTCTTAAGGTGAATTCTAACATTATCCAAGTTTATAGATAAGGATGTCAAAGTAGAACAAAGTTAAGACTTTACTCCAAGATCACACAGCAAGTAAGTGGTGGAACCATTTTAACCCAATTTTGTCTAATTCTTTCTTTTTATTGATTTTATTTTTTGAGAGAGATCAATTTTTATTATACTTACTTATGCATTCATTGGTTGATTCTTGTATATGCCCTGACCAGGGATCAAACCCACAAACTTGGCATATCGGGACAATGCTCTACCGAACTGAGCTACCTAGCCAGGGCCTTGTCTAATTCTTAATCCTATGTTTTAGCACATCCAGATCATTACCAAGAAATGCAGAAATAGAGGACTTCCGGTCAAGATGGTGGCGTAGGTAAACGCGGTATCACGTCCTCCCACAACCACATCAAAGTTACAACTAAACTACAGAACCACCACCATTCAAAACCACCTGAAATCAAGCTGAATGGAAGTCCTACAACTACGAAATTAAAGCAGCAGCCACATCCAGACTGGTAGGAGGGGCGGCCTGGTCCCACACCCACGTGTGGTGGATAAAAATCAGGAGGACACCTCGGCTGGGAAGGCCTTTCCTGAGGACTGAGGGGTCCCCGTCCCACACCACGTGCCCTGCTCAGGGTTCCAGTGCCAG